TTTGGGGTCTGGTTTCGGGACAGGGGGTCTCCTCTTCGGGATCTGGTTTGAGGGGTGGGTGGGGTCCCCTCTTTGGGGTGAGTTTGGGGTGGGGGGGCCACTCTTTGGAGTCTGGTTTGGGGGGGGTGGGGTTCTTGTTTGGGGTCCCCCTCTTTGGTGTCTGGTTTGGGGTTTAGGGGGCTCCCAGGTCTGAGGCTTCTTTTTCAGTGGATCCCTGGCCCAAAGCATCCCAGTTTGTGTCTGGGAGTCCCAGTTTGGACCTGGGGGTCTGGGCTCTGGGGTTTGCTGGTTCAGAGGCTGGGGGTCCCAGTGTGGTCCTGGTGTGGGGGTCCCAGTTTGGAGGGGCCCTGGCTCTGGGGGGCCCAGCTAGGGTGCTGATGGGGGTCCCAATTGTTTCCTAGTCTGTGTCCCATTTGCCAGACAAGGTTCCCAGTGGGGTCCCAGTGGGACACTGCAGGTCACCAGCAGGTTTCCCAGTGGGGTTCCCAGTTGAGGAGCCACTTTGGGATTCCTGGGGAGGGATCTCAGTAGAGATCCCAGTTGGGTGCCCATAAGGGTTCCCAGTAGGGTCCTACTGGGGTTCCCAGTTGAGGAGCCACTTTGGGGTTCCTGGGGGGGGATCTCAGTAGGGATCCCAGTTGGGTGCCCATGGGGGTTCCCAGTAGGGTCCTACTGGGGTTCCCAGTTGAGGAGCCACTTTGGGGTTCCTGGGGGGGGATCTCAGTAGGGATCCCAGTTGGGTGCCCATGGGGGTTCCCAGTAGGGTCCTGTCAGGAATCCCCATTAGGTGCCTGCCAGGGGTCCCAGGTGGGGGTCCCGGGGGGGTCACCTCAGTGCGAGCCAGCTCGTCAGCCAGCCGGCGGTTGTGGCGGCCAGTGTCCTCGGCCTCCTGCGCCTTGCGGTCGTAGCTGCGTGCCAGCTCCTCCAGTGCCGCCAGCACCTCGGCCACCTCGGCACGGGCTGCCCCATGCTCGGCACGCAGTGCTGCCAGCTCCCGCCGCGCCGCCTCCCCACCCCCCCGTGCCGCCGCCAGCACCTGGGGGGGTCCAGAGGGTCAGGGTGGGGGGTCCCAGAGGGGTCCCAG